CAATAATGATTTAAAAGAATAAAAGCTTTAGTGCACACAGTTTCCTTACAATCACTGTTTTTCTCTAAGTAGATGCTGTTTCAAATTGCATTTATGACAAGGAATTCCATTTTTTTTTAATTTCCACAAAATAATTTTACATATTCACATGGTAAAAAGCACATTCAGTATAGGTATTTCGATATAATAGATTCCAACATTCACAAATCTCTAAAATCTTAAAATTATTTATAACATAAGTCATATTAAGCCATGAATCAACTCCACAGTAAGGAATCACTCCCAGAAGAAAGCATATGGGAATGCATGCTAATACCACTTCAGACTGCAGCCAGTCTGTTTACACAGACCAAACCATCCAGTAAACTGATAATGAATGTATTTTTGGTGTAAAAAGACAAGAGCCTTTGAAATATTTTTGCAGGCAATTTTATGGTTAGCCTTTTTCTCATGCAGGATGTATTTTCCACTCAGAAAGGGAAACTTTACATGAGGGTGATATGAGAAAATGGAAACTAAAAGAAGCAACTTGCATTTTTCCTGTTCAAGTGCCAACACCAGGGGTCAGGGCTTGCCCTCAGTGAATTATGAGCTGAATAAAGTCTTCTCCCCCCAGTCACTGTCACTCATTGCTGACATCATCATCTGCAGGGTTTGGGAAGCCAAACAGCAACCAGATGCTCAGGATGAGTTGACTGGAAAGGAGGAGACATGACAGAAGTAGCCCAAATGTCTTCAAAATATGCTGATCTGCTGGCAGAGATCAGGAGAGGAGAAGGACCTCAGAAAGATAAGCTACAAGGAAGCAGTTGAACCTCTTTCGTTCAGATGCAATGGGACAACCTGGCACAATGAGTGTGCAATGTAACCATATTTACTGAAGCCCTGAAAAGACATATGGGTTCCATATGTACTTCTTACTTATCATTTAGAGGAGCTTAAGGAATGAATGCAACAAAGCTGGATGGAGGAAAAGGAAAAAATATAAACAAGCAAGGTGATTCATTGAATTGTGTAAATCAAGATTTTCCAGTTCGCATTGCGGAGCTTTTTTAAAATGTCCCCTGATGTGAGAGTTGCCACTATAAATAGATGAAGAAATATATTTTTTCTCTTTAGTTAGGCGTTTGCTCTTACCTTTTCTTTATAAATGGAAAGCTAAGAGTATTCCTGCTGTAATTACTGCTTTCCTTAATATAAAGCCATCAATGTAATATATTTCTTTATTGGCTTTTTACTCCATCTTTCTATCAGCTTGCCAATCAAGACATCTTACAATAGTAACGAGGACACATAATGTAGAGCAAACAATATATAATCAAAATACAGATGAAAGTCAAATTATTTGAGATTAACAACTAAAAGCTACACAGAAGAGATCTGCTTTTACCAATCTCCTAAATACTGAACATTTCCCTAGGAATGCACATCTCAAAGATTGGAAGTAATAGTGTGCTCCCCTCTCTAGCCTGTCGTTAGGTTATCATAGTGACCAATGCAGTCTCAATACTATATTCTGGAGAAAACCCCAACTGGAATGAGTCCAGAAAATTAATTTTATCCAGATGCATCTAGTAAAGGGACTTCTTCATCTTCATACTGCAATCTGACAGAAATACAGCAATTTTTTCACATAGTAAAGCCCAGAACACTGCAGATCAATGGCCATACTGGAGGAATAGCTATAAAAGAGCACAATGTTATCTACTAAGTGAACTGAAAGTTGAGGATGGCTGTACTGAGAGAATAATTTACTACAGTCCTGCAATGAGTCCATTGTTACCCAGCCAGATATGAGATCTAGCCTTTTGCTTGTTTGAAAGATCAGTGCAGCGCTTAATTTGTTCAGCAACTTGGTGTTACCAGAAGCTAATGTACCCTCAGAAGCTTGTAAGTACACACTCATGGTTTTTGTCTCTCTCTGCTTGCTCCCAACTACAACAATTATTCCAACTCTCAAAGAGGTAGCTTAGCTTTACCACTGATCAGTATTTTGGTCACTACTTGGTATACTCAAAGAGAAGCAAAAGTCTTTGCTCTATATGAGTTGGGAAATGAGCTGTTCTTGCTGCTCCAGAGAAAAGAAAAAAACTCTATGTTTTTTAAGTAAAGTTTTTCAACTCTGCCCTAGTTCTCTGAAGCTCAATATGCTCAAGTCTTCTCTATAAGATGTCTCAACCTCTCTCTATTCTTGCCTCTACTGCTAAACAGGCCATGCCATTCTCTTCCCCATCTCTATTATTTAGCTCCTTGGGCATAACAAAAAGATGGGAGATGATGGAAATCAATTGTAAAGGTGAAAAGTCAAAGCTGTGAATGGTTATGCTCTATGGCAGACTCTCTATGATGTTGCCTCTGATGTCCCAGTTTTCAAAAGGGATGCTTGTCTTTGATGTATGTAAACCTATGCTCCAATACTTATATTTTACTATCTCATTCCTTCTCCACGACCGAGTCCTTAGTTATAAAGACGGACTTGCTTATTTATTGTTTTCTGTGGCATTTTTTATAGTGGAGACCTGACTGTCCAATCAAATATATACTAAAATTTAGACCTCTCCATGAGCAGTCTTCACTTCCACGAAGGGAAGGAAAAAAAATCAATAAGGTATAGTGAAATTAGAAATTAAATGTACTTGTTTCTTTAGACTCATCTCTCAGCAAGGAGGAGGATCTGAAGGACAGCTCGAGGTACAGGAAAATGGAAAAAGGAAGACATAAAAAACTATTACAAGAAAAAATAAGAAGAGCAAGGGGAGAAAGAAAACAGGAAGAAGCAGCAGTAAATTTAATGCAAAATTAATATACAGTGCTTCATATTTGCTATATAGATCATATATTAATGAACTACACCTTGAAAAAACCTAGCCAGTATAGTCAAAAATGGAAAGTGTGTAGTGTCAGCCCTTCAAGGCAAGACAGGTAAGGAACTGTCACAAAACTACTAGAACGCTGCTTAATTGATATAGGATCTAAACAGATTCTTGAAAGCTTAACAGCGTTTCTCCTTCCCTCCCTCTTATACCAAAGAGTCAAGATGGAGCAATTTTAGGTTTCTTTCCCATGCTTCCTTGTTTTCTTGGATTGAGCTCATGTTTTGCTAACAGTCTACGCATACCTTCTGCAAGGTCATCTCTGTACTTCTCTAGAGGTAGCCCAGATTCCTGACCACTAGAATACAGCACAGCTTTTTAGATGTTATAAAAACCTGTAAGTGCAATTTACTAAAGTCTATTCTCCACAAAAGCATGAAACTCTGTTGCAAAGTTGAATATGCATTTTGCATGAAACAACTATTTAAAGAATATATCAGGCTGCAAGATTGGGACAGTTATTGATCAGATACTTTGGAGAACTATTGCCAGTCACAGCAGTTAATACTTGTCTGATCAATGGTTTCATAATTCCATATGATTACTTATTAGATGTAATTGTCAGTGGACTGCCACACCTTTTATACTGATTATCTCTCACTGTAGAATCAGTAATGTGTGAAAAAAACATTATGTTTGCTAACATTTTCTAGTGCAGAAATAAAACTTTTGAGTCAGACTGCAAGGTGCCTTTATAATATTTGTTCTTGCCAACCATGACAGCAGATGTCTTGTTTTTAACTGGCCATAAAATACAACCTTCAGTATTTCAGAGTCAGCCACAGATGAGCTTTTATAAGCATGAATGAGGCGCTTATCATTTGACAGCAATTAAGTATGCCACAACCTTCCAAGACAACATCTATGATTTTTGTGGTCCATTGATATACTGCCTATACCAGTGCTTCCCAAGCTTTTTTCTTCATTACCCAAAACCACTTATCAGAAAGTCCTTTTTACCCAATGTAGGTAAAACACTTTAAGTCAATTTAAATGTCCCTGTTGTGATTGGGTAATGGGTTCATGTGTCATTACCTAAAGAAAAACCACTTTTACCCATTTTGGTAATTTACCCAGGTTTGGGAAATACTCTCCAGTATGGTATAGGCAATGTTTTAACTGTAACCTGTACTTTTCTTCTGTATGTTTATATTCATCAGACATCTGCATATTCTGCCTTACTTCTGAAGACAATTATTACTTCTGGCTGCCCCTTTCCCCATACTATCTGGTAAGCTGAGAAGACAAAACTGAAGGGTCAACCCATACCAGGATTTGATGGTGCTGAAAGCAGCAAAAGAGATTCCTAGAGGTTCCATATGTTTGCAAACTATACCCCCAAACCAGATCAATCATCTTATGAAAAAAATCAGGAAATGTGCAACAGAATTTGCAGAATGCAAGCTACTCTGGAATCTTCATTCCTCCCACCTTAATGTTTTCAGTCAAAAGTGTTAACAGGTTGAAAATGAGCTTCTCAGGGCAGTGTGCAGGCATATTATATCCTATATAACTAATGCTATTATTTAACATGTATTTATTGCTATGAACATTGAGCAACTTTTATAGAAGTTACATGTATTTTTAGACTGCTCAAAGCATATTCATATAAATAACAGTAAATAACAGTGATTAAGTGTTTAAATCTACTATTCAGGGGCAGTTACAGTGTATTTTTAAACTGAACTGTCAGTTTCACTTTATTTATTTTTTTAATTTACGAATGATGTATGAAAAACAACCCCCTAAGAATGATAAGTATCAATAACAACCTGACTGATTATAATCAGGAACACAAATATAAAAAACTTTTAATGTCTGGATCTTAATTAAAAGCTTTTATAATTTTTGTGCTTTACAACGTACATGTTATTTAACAAAAATATAGACACGTCCCAACAGATCATTCTAAAGTGATTAGTCATTGGCAGCCAACAGCCTTCTTAAAAAATTCAAATGAACATTTTTATTAACTTTAAAATAACGCTTTTGCAAAGGGCTTCCGATCCAGACAAAAGAAAAAAGACAATTTTTTTGAGACATCTTACATACACTTATTATAGAAGTAATGGCAATGTAATTTCAAGATCTGTGTATCTAAAAATATATATCGAACTCAAGATGTACCTTGGGAGGAAGAGGTTCCAAATTATTCTCAGAATCACTTTCTGAAGTAGAATCTGAAGAACTTTCCTCAGTTGAGCTAGATTCTGAGTTGGGAGAACACTGCACTTTCTGAAAATTCACTTCAATTTTTTCTGTGTTTTTAGAATCCCTAATATAAAATAAATATAGAAGAAGATTACAGAATTAAAAATTAACATGTACAATATTGCATAGCTTTGACAGAAATTATTTTCAGCAGCACTTCCCAGAAATTGGATTCTACACATAATATGAAATGTAGCATTGCTTGGTTCAAACAATATGGTCAATCCAGAACTCAGATATTAGGAATTATTCTTAGCTCATGTGGTTCCCCACCACCACACACATACTGATTCTCTTCTCTGCATTCTGGCATGCTGCACTTATAATTTGCCACAACTATGTAAAGTGAGCACCCTATTCCAATTTTCATGCAAGCTGTAGCTACCACTAATCATGATTTACCTAATTCAAACATCCTCACAAACTATGATTATCACAGATTTGGGCACGGGGAGATAATTTTCACACACAAGAGACTCAAAGCACATTTCAGAAATGAAATAAAATATATGGGTCCAAATCATATATATAATCAAAAAATATAAAATGTATGTAATTTGGATCCATATATTTTATTTCATTTCCGAAATGTGCCTTGAGTCTCTTGTGTGAAATCCATATATTTCAGAAATATATTGGTCCAAATCACATATATTTTAGTTATTACGTTTCAATAAAATGAATTGTACCATGCAACTAATATGTTTGATTACTAGAACAAAACATAAATGTGGTCATAATCGTAAATATGGATATTTCTAAGATTTTGGAGAAAGATGATAATAACAACATCAGCAGCAGCAGCAGCAGCAGCAAAAGGCAGCTTTACTTGGAACAGCTTAAATCCTGCGATGATACCTTTAACCCCATCAAACAACAACATCTGCCTATCCCAGGGTCTTGAGAAGGACTCGACAGGTAGATAGAAAAGCCAAATCTAGTCTAAACATTTGGCTGACTGTGCAACCAACCATAATAATAATAATTTATTAAATTGATATGCCGCCTGACTCCCAGCGACTCTGGGCGGCTTACAATTGTTAAAAACATTCAAGAACAAAAAACAATACAAAAACACAAAACAACAGCACTAGATGGAACAACAATGGCATAATGTAATATTACAATAACGTAATATTATACTATAACATTTACTTCTTATGAAAATATTAACATATAACCAGCAATTTTTTTGAAAAAGTAAAACCATAGCATTCTATATCAGAACTGTCTATTCGTGCAATATTTCCATACATTTCACCTCTATTTCCCCTTCTCTCTTCATGAGACAGTTTTAATTCCAAATATGATTCAGTGAAAACTCAATATTTATTTAATGAAATAAAACTACTTTTAAAAAATCCAATTTCTAATTTGAAGGTATGATTTTTCAGGACAAACTTATTTTATTACTTAGTTTTTCATAGGTAATCATTATTTATCTTACCGCTTAAGAGTTTCACATGTTAATCTAATGAAAAAAATTTACTGGTAACTAGCTTTTTAACTTTGCAATGATGAAAAGCCTGTATTAATTTAACCTACAGATTTCATTTGTTCTGAACAGGAAAAACAATATAAATCACTTTTAAAATCATTAAATCCTGACTTAAATTAATAAAGTCATAATTAGGGCATTATGCTGTGTTTGTTATGGAAGTGGCAGGGCGAGCTGCTTTAATTACTGTCTGTAATAAAAGGAGCACAGTGCATACTGAGCCACAATCAGCTCTGTCAGCCACGACTGAGCTGAGCTGCAAACTCATCAATGCATTGGCGGCAGGCTACAGAGTAAAAGGGCCATCATGTCCACTGAGGCCACTTGCTGACAGAAGTGGAAGAAACAGATTCAGACAATCCAAGGTATTAGCCCCAATTACTTAAATTTTTAATGGCATTTTAATACACATTAACTCTATTAGTAACAGGCAATCTTTAAAAGACCTTTCCCTTAAGCAGCTTCTGACCGTCTCCCTTCACAGCCCTTGCCTCCAATATCTGAATCATAATCCTTTTAATATAACATTATTTAGGGAAAAATCAATTGCCTTTGTAACCTAATGGCAAGATATAGAACAGTTTAATTTTATCCTTCACAAAATTACTATATAAGGTAACTAAGTGTTTCATAAAGTGGCAGCCTGACTGTACAGCCTCCCAAGGTTACGTTAATATATTCTGCTCACCTAAATATATAACAAAAGATTATTTTTTTTAAAAAAAAAAGGTTCACTCAATTTACATGTAACGATATCATCTGAAATTACAGAAATGGGTAACCTTTTTTCCAATGTCACTAAGAAGGTAGCGAAATATAAAAAGCTGTGTAATTTTAACATTGTGATCTACTGTTATAAGCAAGTACATAGATACCTTTCCGCAACCGTTGTTCGTTTTCTTGGAATTCCCCTTTCAGCCTTTGATTTCCTATCATTCTCATCTTCAGTAGAAGAACTAGAGCTACTTTCCACGCTGGTATCTCCATGCCCTTCTTTCTTTTCTTCCTCAGTATCAGATTCATTTTCTAGAAATGAAAAAGAAAAAACCTTTGTATGCATGAACAATTCAGGTGAGTAACTTCTGATACTACATTCCAATGATGTTCAAGCATCCTGACACAATCTTATCATAAACAGTGACATCAAAATGTTGCTTTCACAGCTTTAAAACACTGTATTTTGAAAAAATCTAGGCACTCACTATTTAGTTTCTAACCATAATATGTTTGCAGGATGATGGAAAAGGAATGAAATCAGACATGACCGACATGTCCTCTATCCTCACTCTCCTGCTCTAACATAGTGTCATCTTCAAAACTTAAGTATTTAATCTATTCTTGCACACACATCTAGTGATGACAATTTAATCAGGAATTTAAACAAGTTATTCAGTTTCTAATCGGCTGGAAAGTGTTTCTAATATTTAACTTGAAGGTACGCTTTCCCAGTTTCAGTCCACTGCTTCTAGTCATTACCCTTAATAATCTTTGGCAATTTTTCTCTTGTTTCCCCAGTGTTCAGAGGAGCAGCCCCACAGGATTTGAAAATATGTCCCTTCTATATTTATACATGTGAGTCTATATTTATACACTTGTATTTCAATAATTCCATTAGATTAAAATGCTGGATGGGAGGACCCAGTACAGATATAACATTGCAGATATAATAGGAATTAAGGCTTGAGAAAAAGAAAATGAAAGCATTTGGAAAGCATTAGTAACAAACCATTCATTCATTCATTATTTCAATTTATTTATATTTCAAATTCATGACTCTGGCCGGCAATACAAATTGAAATAATAAATATTTTATTATAGAGGCAAATAGACATAGGCACATTAGCAATAATTAGAATCTAAAACATATCTTAATAATTATGTAAAACAATATTCTGGAAAGTAAGAAAGAAAGATTGAGTTTTCTACAAGCACCAGTAAATATGCACCCTGAAAACTTATCGTTTTTCATTTATTCTCTTTAATACCTATATAACCAATAATAGACTACAAACTTCAGAGATTAATCTTCAAACTTCAGAGCTTGGGTTTCATAATTGCTATTGTTTATAGTTAGTTTTCTTTTTCTGTTTTAAAGGAGCCCAAACACTTAAGCTTCCAGTGTGGCAATGTGAAAATGGAATTGAGGAGATTTGAGGTAATTTATTTAAAATTTCTGTATATACCACTTTCTACTTTTAAAAAGTCTCAAAGTGGCTTATACCTATAATCAAACCCACCAAAGAAAGTCTATGTATAATTATATGGGAGCAATAATTTCATTTTATTTACTTTTGAATACATGAGATAAAGGTGCATTTTAGATAAGCAAAATAGTGTAAAAATGTTGGGTGTATCTTTATGTCCTACTATCTATTATACCATGTGATTGCAACTACTGTTACTACCTATAAGCTGAAATCATTCACCTGTACTATAACTGTATGAGATACAGCTAGTGTTGGAGCACTGAGTGTCAGTTCAAAGCTCCACATCCCCAAGGGCCCTCCATCTTTTTCTTAAAAAGGCCCTTCCCTCTCCTTGGTCCGCTTCCCCACACCACACAGCTGCACTGGAACATTTTCTTTTTTTAAAAGGCTTAAGCTGCTGCTTACTCAGCACCTTAATCTACTAGAAGGTTTCTATGAAGCCCTATGTGATGGCAAAGGTAAGAAAGAAACAGCATTAGTACCTAGTAAAGTGATGAGAAAATAAATTGTATGGGGAAGAGGAGATTGGAAAAGGGGAGAAAGAAAGTGCCCTGGGAGAGATGAAATGAATAGGACAGAACCTGGGAGAAGACTGAGGCAGAGCCCTGAGGAGAACATACCACTCTCACTACTGCTAGAAGAATCTTCGCTTTCCTCATTAACATCCTCTTCCTCCTCCTCTTCGTCAGACTCAGGGTAGAATTTTTCAATGGTTTCTTTTTTTGCCTTTCCTTGTAGGTAAGTCCATTCTTTTGCCTGTTTATAAATGGACAGGTTTATACAGCTGGATATTTTTACTTAATGCTCTAGTACTATTTATTACAAAATAACAACATTAGATGTATAGGCCATTTTACAATAAGGAATACTTAAAAAACACACTTTTCCACATCAAAACCTGTTTAGAGTAAACTGCATTATCTAGTTTTCTGCAAGCCCCTGAAAATGCTATTTTGAATGATAACATTAAAAACAGCAGTAACAATGGCAGTAATAATAATCCAACACATATTCCTGCTCTCAGAAGCATTTTTGTTTTGTTTTGATGTGTTGAGGGAAGAGACCAGAAACCTGACAGAACTTCTTAGGATGTGCAGTGAGTAACGATCTCCAGTGAATGGCAAAATGGACTACTTTTCTTACACAATTTGTCAGCATTTTGGGAATGCTGGGGATAAAGCTAGAAGTGACAGTTGCAATTATCTAGGAATAGCCATTATGCTATTTCTAATATAAATATTTCTTATATTTGCTAATCCTAAAACATCTTACCAATTAAATTGGGACGGCTGAATTAGTTGAAATACTTAACCATGAGCAAGTGAAATTGGAAGAAAGGTTTCAGACAGAACATATATGCTAAAATACATATTGACCATCAGCAGAGTAATATAGAGAATTTCAAAGGAGTTATTTGGAGCAGAAAAGCCTTATTTTGGAATTATGTTTATTAAAATACACTTGAAACCCTGAAAAAAAATGTAGCCAGATAGATTCACAATTCCTGGTTTCCAAAGGTATAAAATGTTATTTTGAAAAGTCAACATACCAACCCAACTTCTTCTACATTTCTCACTGAAGGGTCAGGTGCAATCTCCGGCCAATTAGACAATTCCAGATAGCCAGAGGCTTTCATGTTCAGAGTATGAGACAAAGTACCAAGTTGGAAGTGCTCCCTATCTATTTGAGGGTGGAGAAGGAAAGACGAAAAGTATACACATGAGCTCTGTATCATAAAGAGCAATCTTAATCAGGACTAAAGGTAATTGGCATTACATTACCTCAAATGTCATGGAATAAATATAAACAAGAAGCTCTTCATAGGTCAAAAAACTGATTCCAGCCCATAGATTACAATAATCTCCCCCATAATGGTCAATAAAAAAGCTAATCAGTCAGTGTATTTAGAGGTGTTGATCTGAAATGTAGCTTCTCTAAAAATTACTTTACTGTGAATATTAAGAATGACAGCACAGTTAAATAATCCATATACATGTCTTGGCACAAACACATCCAGAATGTTAATAGTTTTTCTTTCCGAAGGAGTGCTGCTTTCAGGATTTAAAGTAGGATTAATACAGCAAAGTATGTGAAAATTCAGAAAGCAGATAATGAACATGACAAAATTACTAATTACTATTATATGATTTTTAGAATTAGTTAGAGAGCAATGGAGAAGGTACCACATGGCATCCTTCCCTATGCAACAATTTAGAAGAAAAACATCAGTAATCCTGATACACCAACAAAAAATGAATCTGGAAGGACTGTAGTTTCATGTTGCTCAATCAGAAGTATAATGAATAATCCAAAGTGAAGTCAGAAGTCTTGTTAAGCAGCTAAAGATATTTTCTACAGAGACTATGCTTAGCACAAATTATGGTTTTTTCCCCAGAAACTTATACTATTTATAAAACAAACATTTAAATCATATCTGATTTCCAGTTTTTTAATTACATTTCACACTAGCAAACAGCTTACAATCCTGACTGCTTTCTTAAATACTGAAAACCTGAAATCATATTGTTTATATACTATTTTTTAAGCTGACCATTTGGTAATTTAAATATATAGATAACAGATGCATGTCTCCATCTAACATTAGATAGAAAATTTAGTTGGCATACCTTTAAAAGGTGACTCAAGTAGTGGGGCAGGCTTCTGTGCCAGAAATATTTTTTTGGCATATTTGCTTAAAGCTCCACTCTTGTCGTTTGGAACAATAAGCTGCCTAATAAATCTTGTTCGGTCTCTGATGTCGTAGCTTTGATCATACTTGCCGAGGTTTAATATGTACTGGGTAAGCAATTTTGTCTGTGAAAAACAGGACAAGAAGAAAATACAAGTTATTTATGATTATTGATAACTCTGGATAAACATATTTAAAAAGGTAATAAAAATGAATGGTTATGTCAAACAAATGTTGTTCCATAGGGAATATGCATTTCGAAAGCAGTAAATGGAATTTTGAAGCCAAAGCACATGTCCTCTTCTGTGTAGGGGAGGTGAATGCTGAGTACTGAGAAGCAGCCATGTGCTAGATTATTAAACTGCTGAAGTGGAAAGAAAGGCATCATTAAAAAAATAATCATATATGGCAAACCCGCTGAAGGGCCTACGTGAGAATAATGAATGTGGAAATACAACTAAAAACATGGCACTCAAAACTTAATCGGAAAAATATGCAGGACATCAAAACATCAGAGGGTATTAGGAGGCTGGCAAACTGCTTCTGCTGAGGTGTGTTTTATGAAGAGATACTGTCCCTGGCACCAGCCGTCTCTGCACTCTGACTGCACTCAGTTACTTTACTCTGAATTATGACCCATTAAAGCAGACACATGAATCACTGAACTGGATTACTGCAAATTATTTGCAGTGCATTTAGCTGTTACTTTTTCATAAAAGCAAGCTGCTGATGCCCTCTAAAAACCAGGATAAAAGACTTCTTCCATTTTTCCTCTCACAGCTTAAAGCCTTGGGTAATATTGGTCATTTATATACGTAAAAGCAAGTTCTATTACCCCAGCTTTTTACAGCATAACCAGATTCTCTAATTTGATGTAGAAATATTAATTACTAAAATTATTCAATGCATACTGTTTAATTTTTGCATCATAAAAAAACACACAAATACACAATTTGGAAATACACAAATTGTCTGCATATACTGTATATTCGGTTCAGCAGATATCTGCAAAATGCAATTGGTAACAATTGAAAATACTACATCATTTAAACACAAAATATACGAAATATTATATTTATTCTGTTTGTGATAAGCTATATACATTATTTGATCTGAAAATCTTTTCTATAGACACATCTTTCCAGGGCACAGAATTATATTCTGATGAATAAACATATTATTTCTCAAAAAAAGTTACAAAGGTACAATATATTTATATGAATATACAACATATTTATACAACATATACAGCTATTATATTGGTACTCTGTAATTATTTCTGAAATTTAACATTTTAAGCAATACAGCTAAACAAATACAGTAGATATTAATTGTCCAATGGAGGCTGATTGGTTTTAACTACCAAGTAGTATTAAAAGAGACCAATGATATATCACTTTAGCTGCTAGTAGTTAAGGAATCTTGAAGCCAATATTCCTTAAAACCTGGTAATTTCAGTGCTTTTTAGCACTGGAACACCAACAGTAAGTCAAACCCACTACATCTGCTCTGACTGCCAGTTCTATTGATGTCAGACTGAATTGGGAGCCATTTTTTACTCCTGCTCTCCTTCTACCGTCCATTTTCACTCTCACTAAAAGGACATAGCTGGACCACTAAAGTGGAGAAATGTACTTTTGAAAACAGAAGCATGAAACTTCAGTAAAACCTAGTTTACCACACTGTATAAACCTCTGTAAGTCTCAAGTTTAACAGTATTTGATAGTGGTGGCTATTTTCAAAAATGGTACCTCTGCTGGGTTAATTTTTAAATGACTACCTTAAATAGTAATATTGATCTGGGCTTAGCTGACCGATACAATTAAGCAGGGTTGGATCTTCAGTGAGAGATTATCAAGTAATTCCAGGGTTGTGGGCTAGATTGGGAAATTAAAAAAAAAAAAAAATCCCAGGGAAAGGCAGTGGCACCCACATAGTCACCAGGAATCAAGCTCAACTCAAGGAAGACTTCGTCTTAATACTGATATTCAACTGACTCTCAGTTACATTCAAATTGAGTAAAAAGAGAATGTGGCTCAACTTTGCTGAAACACTGCTTTTAAAAAAACAAACTTGAGGAAAATGATTTGTGGTTATGTTTGAATAGCACCTTTCACCGTATCAGCATGCTGTTCATCTTGTACTTAAATGCTGTCTTCTACTACTATCCACACAAGTCTGTCTCAATTTTGTACGCAATGAATGGCATAAAAGAAGTAAAACAGTTAAATACAGGCTAGTATTACCAATAGGCTACTACAGCAAAGACAATTCAAGTTAATACTAGCTACATAAAATAACATTTGTGATGGCCTTCACTACAATTATTACGTTAGAGGGTTTATAAGTAATTGCCTTTTGATGTTTTGTTCAATGCATAATGATAAAGCCAGAAAGAAAGATCTTGCAAATAATTAAGAAATTCTCACCTAGGAAATATCCCTATCCTGCGCAGGAGAAAATATGGCGCTAATTAGAACAAATGAAATAAAGCAGAAACATCCTCTTGCCTAACTACCTTCCCAAGGACTTGAGAAACAATAAACCCTGTCAGCTCAGCCATAAAAATATGTAGAAGGCTAAGGAATGCTGATAAAGCTGGGAGAAAATACTAGGAACAGAGTACAGACTCTGGGAACCAAGGACAGTTCAAGATTTATTCACAGAATACCCTCTTTGTTCATTCAGTGGACCACTGTTTTTGTAACTCCACTCCATCACCTCAGAGAAATCATATCTGACCTCACTATCACATAAAATACTATTATATCTAATCATATCTTATCAAATGTATATACTAGTTTGCATAAATCTAGATACAGGAATTGCCTCCTTGACCTTTTAGTAGGTGGCTTTAGCTACCTCTGGTACTATCATAAACAATCTGTGCTTCAATGGAAATTGTGTGCTGGTCTTCAGTTTTACACAAGGTTTTGGGTAGGCCTCTTTCTCCTTTGGAAAAGCAGTCATTTTTAAAAAAAAATGGAAATGGAGAACTCCTCTCCTTCTAATTTCCTAATTTTAAACCAGAGAGAACTTGTCTATTCTACCAAGAGCCAGGAGTCCAGGAGAACTCCCAAGTCATAGACCTGCTTCTTTGGAATGTAACCCCATCTAAAACTATCACTGGAATCATTATCTCCAGAGAGCCAAAATGTTTACAGACAAGCAGTAACTTCATTTTCTTGGATTTAATTTAAGCTTGTTCGCCACATCCAGTCCCTCACAGCTTTCAGACATTGGATCTGGATTAACACAGCATCTCTGGGGTAGCAATGTACTGCTGACTGTCATTAGCATACTGATAGTATCTCACTCCAAACCAATGGATAACTTTTCCAACACTTTCATGCAGATGTTAAATAACATGGGGAGATGTCCAAGCTCTGTAGCACTTCATATTGGAACAAGATGAGCTCAACCATTCCTCCCCCTGACTAGTGACTAAAACTACCAACTCAGGTAGGAGTGGAAGCACTGCAAAACGGTATCCCTAAACTACAACTCCTGCAGATGGTCCAGAATGATATCATGGTTGATGATAGTGAATGTTGCCTAGAGGTCTAAAAAGATCAGGAGAGGCACAGTTCCTCTAACCAGGTCCCCACAGTCATCCATCAGAGCAACCAATACTATTTCTGTCCCATGTGCAGGCTTGAAACCTGACTGCAAGGGATCCAGATACTCCATTTCTTCTAGGAACTAGGATTCTCAATCATCTTCTCCAGAATCTTCCCAAAAAATGAAGATTGGAGACTGGGTGGAAGACATCTAATATAGCTGGATCAAGAAAGGCCTCTTCAAGACCACTGTCTCTTTCAAGGCTGGTGGCCCTTCACCCTCCTTCAAAGAAATATTCATTACATCTAGTCACACATGCACCACAGATCCCAGGAGGTTCTAGGTCAAGCATGTATTTAGTCTATAGATGGTAGAACTCATATTGTAGAATTCCACAAGATCCCTGAAACAACTTGCAAAAACATCACAGCAACCTGCACGTATATATCCCAATTAATATGGACACATACCCATGCTTTGCCACTCTTATCACTACCTTGCAGGGCTGAATGTGAGCTTGTACATGTTCTTCAACATATATAGATCGATATTTAGATCATGTGCCATCTGCTCCACAGTAAAAACCAAGTCTAATGTGGGCCAGCCTATGAGTTGAAGCTGAGATCACTTGAGACAAGCCCAATGTATTATTGAACCAATTACTTAGTTTACATTTAATACTATGACATAAATGATGGTTTTGTCCATGGGTCTGCACAAAATAAGACAAGTTGGTTACCTGCAACTGTTATACTTCAAAGATTCATGTGTGTTTTTATACATATAGCGTTTTCTGTGCAAATCACACTTAGAATGTTCTAAGGCTGAGCCTTTGTGTGAGCTCCTTCAAAGCTAATGCTCAAAAGTAAGCCAGCTGCTTATCTGAATTCCTCATATCATACTCAAGTCTGTGTGGGAATAGAAGACAAGTGGCATGAATTCACAGATGATCCTAAAAAAAAACTATTGTTACAGGTAAGCAAACCTGTACTTTGTGGTGATACAAGAACTGCATTAGAATTACCCTACAGCCATCCAACAGTGCATGACATATGCCTCTCACTGAGTCACAATAAGCATAGCGAATGTCTGTTAAGGAAATTGCTTCCTGTCACATTTAAAACAGTTATGGAACAATATCTTTAAGGCCATAGGAAGCCACCTTGATACCTTGGGCCAATCACTCCTCTCAGTCCAAATCAATGTCAAGCTCAGCAACAAGCCAGCTGAAAAACAAAATCCTCTGTTGTATCATGCATTGATAAGCTTAACTGTAAGTACTAGGTGAGTGCAATGCAAAACAAGCAGACCCTGCACTTAAGCACGACCAACACTAAGAAAAACAATAATCTTTAAGACCATAAGTGATGGAAATAAAATGTGTCCAGGACACAGATGAAAAGAAAGCCAGGGTATTAGATGTGAACCATCATCAATGTCACTGACACAAGTGAAGGATGTTTGGTTATTGGTGATATTTGAAATTTAAATGGAAATTTATTCAATTAAGATGGAAATTATATGACTTGAGACATTTGCAGAAATTTGTCTCAGAAAGGATGCAATTTTGAACTGGTGCATTTCAGCTATTCCTGTTTGAACAAAGCAAGTTTTAAAAGACACTTACCAAGGTAGGCCTTGATAGAAAGCCAGATTTTGCTATTGGCTATATGTTTCTGAAGATTAAAATGGTGACTGTGGGCTTTAATTTTATGACTTCCAAAGTCAGGCTAATCATGAGAAAAGCTTAACATTCTAATTTTATGAATGCCTGTCCCACTCATTCAATGTTCTATTCAGTTCAATTTAATGAACAATTAACATAGTTATGTTTGTGATTTCACACATCAATGGTATTTCAGTCTTACCTGTTTCGAGTTGGTTAAATATAACTTTGCTCCAAGATTTAGAATTTGCAGCTTTACAAGATCATCTTCCACAGTGAAGCTCTTGGCCATTTTTCTTAGAACATCAGGGGCTATTTTTGGAACTCGTTCACAGTATTCTCCAGTAAGCCAAAGAATGCTGGCTCTCGCAACAGGAACCTTAAGCAATAAAACAATTAAAATAACAATTTATAACCTTATTAAATGCATTTTTGAAATTGCTTCTCTAATGGTATACTAGTAACAACTTGAGATAACTTACAGAGAATCTCCACATATTTTCACCGCTTTGAATTTACCAAATGATTATTTATAGCCAGTTGTGATCTTTTTCTTAAGGAGCTTTCCAAGCAGTAATTGAAATTGCTGGTGAGATTAGTCATTTAGCTTAAAACAGGCTTCTATACTATAGAAGAAAATAGTTCCAATACCCACTTTAAAACAACTTTCTTTAAATGATGGATCAAAAAATGTTTTGTGATAATTTCACTGGGCTTCTGGCAATGCACATTTCCTGTGTTTCTTAAAGCGATGGGAGTGAAAAAAATGTTAATTTCAAAGCAGAAGCAAAGTAGCAAAGAACTATTTTTACTGTATGGTTAACCATCTGGACCAAGTCAATTAAAATGGCATACACATTTAAATACTGCTATCTGCACATAGCCTAACCAAGTGCCCTCTGTATGTTTTGGACTTGCCTCAGGCTTGCAAATTAAGCTTGTAATACCCTATGAAAAGAAAGACTGAGGACCATGCTGCTTTCCTGCATACTGTCACTTAGCAGAGCATAAGCATGAGCAGAGAAAACTGCTGAAGTACAGCGGGGGCATTCCTAGTGGAATGGCCATGATACAGTCCTATGGTTGTAGAAGGTAGAGCATGACTACAAGGCTGCATAGGACCACAGTTTAGGAAGGTGAAACAGAGTTCTTCCCTGGCCACCAGCTCTGAGGGAGTGAGAGTGAGTGAGTGAGTGAGAGTGTGAGAGTGAGTGAGAGAGAGAGAGAGAGAGAGAGAGAGAGAGAGAGAACACTATTTTCCTAGTGTGGAAAAAAAATCTGCCTGTTTTCTCCTTTGCAGTTTCTTTGCAGCTCCTATTACTTGTCAATCCCATTTATGTGAGGGAGAGGGTGACAGTGATAATTTTTGAAGAATGTTTAAAACTTTCTAAGCAAAGGAAGACACAGAGCCTCATTTAACAACTTTCCATATATTGCTCAAGGAAACTGGTAGAAAGAAAAGCTCAAGGTGGCTGCCCTAGAACCCTAGAATTGACAGAAGCACTTTCCCCCCATCAAATAGGCAGAGAGGCCAGGCAGAGACCTCTATTTGGAAAAAAGTTGGTATACAAGTGGTCAGCCACTGAAACAATACTCTAGGATATACATATATGATTTTAGAGAAATAACAATACCTAGGAATTTATCAAGAGACATGCCTGATTTAAGGAGGTGCCAACAGGTGTGTTGTCTATACCAAAACATGTTCTGATCACCTTTCCCCCTCTGAATCTGTTTTACTGCACAGACCACAACCAAGAAATGTTAGTATTACAATACCTATATTTCTTGCTGATTCACTTATAAAATTGCAGGTAATCTGCCTAAGTTCATAGTTTAATAGAAAACTAAGGTCTGTTAACAAAAGATCAAGTCTACTGATCAAGAAAAAGAATGTTCAATGTTTTATAATTCTTTCCAAACCAATCTCTGATAATCTTGGCTGTCTGTTCTGAATTCCCCAATGGAACATACTGTGAAAGGCCTTAGGAATGTACTACTAAGTAGTGTTAAAACATTAGTATCTGAAAAGTAAAAACATTGGGAAACTCAGAAAATATATCTTGCTGTTCACTAGGTTAAAGAAGGATAGTGGAATTCCATTTCAGTATGTTTATATCTCATAAAACTGGAAGTCCTTTGAAAGGGATTCTTAGGTTGGATTAAATTGGAAGTACAATCAGCTCCTTGTGAGTGGAAGACTAATAAACAGAAATCACCTCCTGTTAATGTAGATTAAGGAGCTGTCAAGGAAAGAATAAAAACAAATTCACAAAATACAGACTGAACTGCGAACCCTTAATATTGCCATATCTTTTTCAAATGCATTCTGATCGATTTTATGAAAAAGTAGTGTTGTTAACCAGAGGAATAAAGGGACCATCTATGCTTGCACATAAGACGTTAGTTGTATATCTACTTGTACTTTCTACTAAAGCCAGAATCATGGATTTAGGTTGTTTTTTGGTGCTGGAGAACAGGACCCCAACAAAACTTAACAAAACTCTTTTTCTTAGTCATCTGAAGGCCTATAGAATATTAGAACTCTGTTGCACTGATAAATAAAAATACAATAAGCACTGCAAAACCACCCAGGAGTCTATGATGTGGAGAGCTAGCACAGTAAGTAAGTGAATCTTGTTCCATGCTGATGAAACCTATCGCTTAGGTGACAAAGAAGGGGTAGCCCCTGAGCTGCTATTGTCTTTGCTGCAGCTTCTCTGATAGTTCACCCCACCCCCCAGCAAGGACCTCTAGACATCTCCTTATATCTGAGAGAGGAGTCACAAGAACTCTCTCAGCCACAGTGATTATGGGGATTATAAACCAGACAAACTTAATAAAAATAAACAAAACCAAGTGAGCCCCTTGCTACCAATCCAACCTTCTGAATGACAAATTGAGCTATATGGCTTATATCTCTAGTTCTAGACTCTGGATGAAGGATGAAAGGCATTTGTGTAAGGGATGAAACTGCCAAGGTAGGAACTATTGCTGGTCAGACCAGAGAGTTATAAAATTAGCCTCTTATACCAAACAGAGTTAAGGCAGAGTCAATTTAAGTTTCTTTGTAATGCCTTTTCCTTTCCCAGGCTTAATTTATGTTTTGCTAACTGCCATATTCCTTATTCAGTGTCATATATGGCTTCTTTTTTGTTGGCAATAAAACAACTTATCTAGCAGTATGGAGTCTTTGAAGAATTGATATTTATATCTGAGCCTGATCTGAAATTTGAGCCATACTGGGCTGTCTATCCCAGAGAATGGAACAGCTTTCTTTTTTGCCATTGGTTTCAAACAAGACCTCAAATATGGATTTACAAAAATTCTGGCACCCTTGAAGATGCTGTAGGCTAATACTGATGTCTATATTCCAACTCCTGAGACACTGAGGTCTTAGTGTAGTGAGGTCTGTATGGCTCTGCCTCAGAAATGCAGTGAGTTTAAGTTGGTGTCAGCCATGAAGACTGCAGACTTGGCCAATTCATGAACAGTTTGTAGTCTGCCACAAGTTTTTTGGAAATCAGATCCAAAAGATGTTTGGACCATATAATTATAGCTCGGGCAAAAATAGATATGGCTTTCACTACCTTGATTGCTAAAGAACTGGCATTCCTTAGCCCTCTTTAAAAGAATGTCAGTACATGTATTGTAGGAATATTTGGGCATGTCAAAAGTGTACCTTGAAACTGTTACTCCTGAAACCAGGAATGTTCTTGGGGGTCTTGGAGTGGGACCTTTAAAGCCCCAGAGATGACTGTGGGAAGGAAGTAATGGCTGGTTCCAGGGCAAGGTTCTTTCCCTGCACCTAAGGAGGCCCACTCTGATTAATGTGTCTGAGGAGATACTTGATGCTGAGTCTGATGCTACAAAGAATAAGGGGATGGGACACAGAGGGAGACTGCAACAGGACAAAGAAATTAAACAATTTCCATGTTAGTGATACACTGCTTTTCCACTCATATAAGGCATCTTTGGACATAATCCTTTGTAACTGGCTGCCTTTGAAATATAACATTTCAAATGGAATTCTTACAAACTTTTATGAAAAACTATACAGAAGATTCTACTCAGGCTAGACTGTCATACTACAATAGTGCACAAGCAACTCTTGATTGCTGTATTATTTTAAAGATGGCACTCAAAAAATAGATTTTCACATATTTGCATGCATGATTGAAATCGCTACAAATACACAACTTATGAATTTTTGTATTATAAAGGAATGTCAATCAATCCTAATAATTATATTGCCAGTGAAGTATCTTTCAATCAGACTAGACTCAATTATATGGCACCTCTTTCTAGTTTATTTTTCTCAGATTTTCAGCAAGTCTTCTATTAAAGAAAGTTGCTAGGCTGCTTTGGTAAATATCTGAATTATTTAAAATATGTGGATGAAATACACAGAAAGTAACACATGTAAGAGTGCAGGCATGTTCTTAAATGTTGTTACTAATCAACAGTTGTCAAATCAAATCAAATCAAATCTTTTTATTATGATCTTTGACCAAACTTTACAGTAGGAAAAGAGAAGTAGTTTGGTACAGCAATTCATTATCAGGGGAAAAAAACAGTAAGACAATAAGACAACATATCTAATTAAAAGTTTTATGTAATTGTAGACTTGATGAAGATATTTGGCCACCTAGTATGTGTGTGTAGAGTTAGCATCCCTTGAAAATGTAATAAACAAAATTTATCAGTATGACCATTAAATATTTATGCATGCATGCATGCATGCGTTTTCTATAGCCACCCATCTCAATTCAAGTGACTTTGGGCAGCTACAGAAATTGCATAAATGAATAAATAAATAAAATTTAGAGATTGGGGAGATCAAAGCATGTCCTGGGTCATCATAAAAAGGACACCATATGAGGACACGGGCAAGAGTTTCTACCTCCCTGGATCCACCAAGGCAAAGTCTCTGTAAATAAGGAGGTCCATGAAATCTTCCCACCAACAGTGCTGAAGGGAGATTATCAAAGCAGGCTCTGAAAAAGGCCCATCTATATTTGCTTAGGGTTAGATTGTATAGATACCCCACAGTCGAAGGCTTACGGCTATCTAACATCTGGTGATAGAACTGAGGAGCACTGGCGATATCATTTTGGTGATCAGTGTCCCTAATTCTTTCTTCTACTATTGATTTGTCCTTCTCAAAGGTTAATTGACCTAAATATTCAGGAGAGAGGCCAAGATTGCAAAGTTCTTCTATACAGGTACAGTGGCAATGAGATTGGTAACTGTCTGATAACAGTAGAGACAACAGGCCTGTAGGGTCAAACATGATTCTGAGCCCTTAGATTAGAATCCTGGTCCAGGCCTGAGTCTTAATATTTGGCACGTTAGCTTCAAGCCTTAAGACTGCATTAGGGGTG